TAACCATGCTTACACTGTACATCAAACTGACTTATTTCAAGAGCCAATTGTTGCTTCCTGCCAGATGACATGGTCACTTTTACCGCTTTCACTGTTAATAAAATAAGGCTGCTAAGCTAAGGAGGGAAGCTTTTACTGAATAAACCCCGACAAGCATCCTTCCTATGAAAAACCCTGCTATCAATCATAGTTCAAGTCTATCTAACTGCTTTTTTCTTTACATTTGTTTTGCTGTAGCCCAACTACTTTCATTGTGGTCTACTTTGGCAGTTTACTTAAGGACAGTCCTGGAACTGCATCCCCAACACGTGAAGGTACATAGATTATACGTACATTGAGTATACATATGTAGAGTTATAATGATGACCTTCTAGGTTTTCTATTTTATTGCATTTTTTTCACCACCACTGTGATTAATGTTGGATTCCCTCTTCTCCTGTCTGTGGAGAGACCCCTTTACACCTTCTTGCTAACTATCACACCACCCATATCATAAAAAACATTCTATTTGTTTACCACACTGCAGTACTGAAAGGTATTGAACGTTTAGGTACACTGTGCAATGTGCGATACATCACTGTGTCACTGTTGGTGTCACGTAACAGTTCATTTTCAGTTTTAAAACACAAACAAATAGTAAATTTGCTTTCTGGAAATTTAGTTTCTATTAATTTTACAATAACGTATAAGGTTCCCTTTGGTATTTAAGAGAAGAAAACAGAACAAAACAGTTCAAGTTACAGCATTACAGTACCAGTACGTGTTCATTAGCTCAAATATTGTCTTATATCATGATGCCATGATACATTTAGTAAATACTGTAATGCTGAATGTATTAGTACCGCCCAGTACCACCTCAACTGCACTTGAACTGCTGTTAATGATTTGAATCAAAGGGGAATGTAGTAAACAGAGCTTTAAACACTGATTTCTGTGTAATAAACAATTAAAGTGTCAACAAAGTCATTCAGAGCGGTTTCATGTGAAATGCTCCATTCTAGAGAAACACAGTATGTTTTAGTATGCAACTTTTTACAGTGGTGGTGGTGATTATAATTATTATTATTATTATTATTATTATTATTATTATACAAAATGACTATTGAACATGCCTGATGCCTGAGACATTGTTCTATGATAGGTATTAGGCCAAAACCTCCTCAAAACTAATTTTAAAATGCATTCATGATGGAAAGGGAAATGCAGGGCAATTATTTAAAAATTATATCCTGATATTTTTTTTGATTTGCCATTGTTTTACCATTACTGATTAGCCATGCACCGGTCAGTCATTTTTTAGGCCAATTCTGATTTTTTACATCAAAATAGGCCAATGGCAGGCTCCTGAGTGGCGCAACCATCTAAGCGTTGGCCTTATCATCAAGAGATCGTAAGTTCGATTCCTGGTGATGCTCCAGCCATCCAAGTCCAGTAGAGCACAATTGGCCTCGCTCTCTCTGGGTGGGTAGGATAAGGAAGAAATTGGCAATTGGCCAATGGCATTCTTTGTGGTATTTGTTTGTTTTGTTTTTTTTTTAACCTTAAGCTCACCTCGCACTGTATGGGCTAAATGAACGCATGAAACTAATTTATTTCTAGTACTTTCTACTAGCCAAAGTTGTAATATAAGTAACTTGCTGTTTAACAGGCTAAATTGGCCTTAAAACTATTTTTTTCGTTAAATTTAAAGTTGCCTATTTATATAACATGAATCAAAGTACTACACTGAAAGTAAGACGTGACTTTTCAAGTAAGTCATGCAGAATTGTGCTATGACATTTTGGTACAGGTCCAGCAGCAGCAGCGGTCAAATACAATGTGAGTGCACGTACCTGACTCACGCTATTTATGTCATGTCAGCAGAAATGAAAATAAACTAACCGGTTGCCGTTTGCGTGTTTGGAGCAAAAAAACTGACATTTCCGATCTGTAAAGAAATCAGAGTCAGCAAGCTTCTGTCTGCACCAATTCCCATGAAAAGACACTGAATGACTTTGTTTACAACTTAGCAACTGAATAATGCAGACATTTGGAAAAATTCCTCTTTAAAATAGAATAACATTTAAACTGAAACTATTAAAACTTAACAGATAAGTTCAAGGTAGGGCTGGACATACAATGAGATGCTCAATAAAGCTGTGGGATATCAGGATAATATGAAAAGCAAAAAACATTATAAAATATTGTAAGTCTGACTGGATGGGCCACGAGTGGACTCTTCTCTATGGTGCACTATAAGGCTAAAAAACAATCGGCATCCCATGAAGATCTTTTTCTATAAAGGCTATAAAAACAGATCTGTATTTTTTATTTTGTGTATTGGCCTACAAAAATTACATATTTTATTCCTTACATGCTCCTTATGGTGATGCAAGTTTGTTGTGACCCACAACACTGAGAGTGAAAAAAGTATTTTTAAAGGCTAGTACTTCAGGATTGTTTTTGAGATGTGCACGTGTTTTGTAACTGATCGTGGAGCCTGCCAGGGTTCCCAAATACGTATCTCTGGCGACGTGCGCGATAATAGACCCTTTTCACACTCCCACATTCGAAGCAGCAGAATTCGTCATACCGCAGCATTGGCTTTAACGAATGAGAATGCAGTTCTCCTCTCTGATGTAGAGGACTCTTATTTTTACATCCTTATTAAGAAATTTACCAAATTTCTCCACAAAGACATCATTCATTTATTAAATCTGTCTCCTTTCAGAGAGGAGAAAGCTTGACAGGGGCTATATGCTTTTCTTTGAGAATTACCTGCAGGACTACAAAGGTAAATTAAGGATATCGTGAGAAGTTACCAAACAAGGTTAGATAAGTTCAGCTGTCTAATGTTTACTAGAATATAGTCAATATTTTAAGAGTAAAGTTAATGTAGTCCATTTTACCTTCCTGGATTTTGGTTGTATTATGCGATTTTTCACTTTTTTACATTTCCCTCTTTCTAATGTTAATGCTATTTTGTACACTGTCCAATGTTGTAATGCCTGTCCAACTGTCCAGTGTCTGTCCAGGTCAGTGTTCTTATGTAAACTGACCAACATGACATTGTTTAATTTAATTCAGTGTTTGAGCAGTAATATCACCAATGCTAACGGTTAGTGGAAAAGCATCAAAACAGACCGATCAACACAGTCTACCTAACATTAGCTGACCAAGTTGATTCCACCAGTTTTTTTTTTATTATTTTTTAGTTTTATTTATAGACAGCATCACATTCTCTTGTCAGACAGATTTTCACCTTCTTTAAATCTGTACAGCTCGCCCACCTAGTGCCAAGACAACAAGCGTAAAGCTTGTCAAGCTTGCTTCTCTCTAAAAATGCAAACTGCTCCACCAAACGACATAAATACCGCTAAATATCTTAATAAGAACGTAAAAAAATGAGTCCTCTACATTCCCATTCGTAAACGCGGCCTCTGCTGTAGTATTAATCCATTTTATCATCACAAGCCTTAACGATGTGTTTATCGCTGAAACTGATATCACATTAACTATACAAATACGATTTAATGTGCAGCTGTACTTCAAAGCCAGTTTATAAAGACTGTATCTGCCCAGTGAGTGTTTCACTGCATTTGCTGCTTACATCTATACTTATTGTGAATGAAGGTGAAGTTTGTTGCTGAGAGAAGTGGAGGATGGGACGAGACGTCTGTAATTGCTTGCGGCCACTGTGTGAGACATCAGTTGCATCTGAAAGTCTTTCTATGGCTGGTACAGGGCCTGATAGACTCGCTGCGGGTGGGAGCGGTGCAGCTCCGCGGGAGAGCCCTATTGATCCAGAGCAAACACTCAATCACCCAGACACACACACACCACTGACGCAAGACACACAGACACTGCTTCAAAAGCACACAATCACATATACAAGCACATATACTCATCACTGATACTCGCACATACAATCACACATACGTGCACAAGCAACACTGTAGCCATGCTCGAACACTACTGATGCAGCCATACACGTTACATACAGACACAGACACACACACATACAGCCTTAGAGAGAGACACACTCACACAGAGCCAAACTCTCTCTCTCTGTCTCTCTCTCTCTCTTTCTCTCACACACACACACACCACACTCCGTACTGCGACACCCCGCGCGCTGTTGTTGCTGTGCTGTGTCTGGATCTGTTAATGAGATGACCTTTCTAATCCATAAACCGAAACTATTGCGGCACTATTGACAGAAATGCGCCATATTTCAGCGCACTAAAATCCCCACCGCATAAATTGTGAGCATCGACTATCCGGTTGGCAGCATCTTTGGCCACTTTTCTGTAAAAATGTTGGGGACACTGCGGGCTGCGGCGCCCACCCGGGCTTCGAGCTCCCTCTTTCGGCTGGAGGGGAACCCCCCGGACCCTCAAAGCTTGTGTGTTGAAGTTGGCTTCCCATTCGAACAGTCCGTTCCACCTTAAATGGTGCGGTCGTTACTTTCTGGCGCCAACTGCTGCACTAATTTAAGGCAGAGCGGCCAACTCGAATAAGAAGCGTCCAACAACCACTAATACTGTGTGAATTTTCCCGTTCCACCTTAAATGGCGCAGCAGTTCCACTCCGGCGCCTGCACCATTTAAGGTGGAACGGGAAAATTCCAACAAGAAGCTGGCGAATAGTAACTTAAGCTTCGTCTAACAACCTGGGGAGGAAAAAACTCTTTCTCTCATAAAGTCTTTTACTACAGAAAAAATGTTGAATTAAATGTTACTTTTAAACAGACAGTGTCAAATGAACACCTCCACCATCCACCATCCGCCCACAGCACTCTTTCAAGTCCTTCTCGAGCCGAACGAGCTGAGAGAGTTCCCCTAATTGAGTACTGGGGGCTACACGGTGTTCGTCTGTATGGCCGTCTAAAGCTGCGCTTCACTAATGCTGCCACAAGCTGGAGGTGCCGTCCACTGAGGGGGTCGATGGTGTTATCCCACCGGTGCCCATCACAACCCCAGTGCGAACATCTCCATCCCTCTCCTCCCCAAATAACTCACCTCGTTATTTCGAAGCTGCAGCCTTTCCTCAGCAGATGGGCTCTCTTCCGCATGATGCCCGCCTTCTCCCGGCCCAGGTACATGTTAATGTCCGAGCTCATCGTGGACAGGACACTTTCACTGAAACCCGCGGAGCCACAGCGGAGGAGCGGAAAACAGGCTGCCGGTCCGAGTCACAGCCTTACCGTGTGTGGCGAGAACAGAGACCGTGAGACTGAAGAAGGCAAGGCTGGTTTTTTACCTCAGAGGGAGAAAAAGAGTAAGAAAGGAGGAAGAAGCACTCCGCTCTCGGCTAGGCTTGGACGGTGTTGGGGAAACACCTCACAAACTCCATCCAGACTCAGGGCTGTGGTATGCGAAAACAGACCGAGCTCCTCTCGGAAGTGGGCTAAAACTTGTCAGAGCCGAGATAAAAACTTGTTAAAGCCCGAGCTTAAACGCGTTTCGCCCGCCGTCTCCTCCTTCTCTCTTCTTTCCAGCCGATGTCTGTAACGGACTCTCTCCTCAAGAGCGGTTAGCTGCACGAGCTCTGCCCCAACCAACCGCCGAGTCTGCGCGGTCCTAAAGGCTATACGAGCAACACAGCGGCTCCCTCCTATAGGCTTCTCCTCACAACTAGCCAAACATGGACAGACCCGGCTTTCCCTTGTCTTTTCTGCCCAAGTCTGCGTAGTTATCAAACTGTAGGTGAGGGATTATGAAGTAGGAGTGGAGTGGAGGTTTTAACGTTCAGTCTTCAAATACAAAAATACAAAAAGCTACATATTTAACCCGTAAGAGACTGAACAGTGGGGGTTACCTTTTTAGACCGTTTTGTAGAGCCAGGCTACCTCCGAATAAGGCGCCACGAAATCAAAACCTCTCTCTCTCTCTCTCTCTCTCTCTCTCTCTCTCTCTCTCTCTCTCTCTCTCTCTCTCTCTCGCTCTATCTCTTCACACACGCATTTGTATTCCTATCTTCGTGGGAATCATTGACTTGTATTACTGTAGCTAAACGCTATGTCCACACGTAAACCAACCCTGACCATAACCTTAGGAACCAAAGTGAAACCTTTGGTCTGGCTGCCAAACCACTCAAATGTCTTTACACCTTAAAATCTTTAATGTTTTTCACCATCTTGAGCACGTTAGGTCCCCGGAATGAGCTAAATACAAGGCCACAAATATACACACTCTTATTTAAATATCCCTGGAACTAAGAGGGCTTATTGTCAATCACAGCCAGCACTGAAAATGTCAGCTGGGCCATCCTGAAATACCATTTCATGCATAGCTGTCCATAACAAGGCGGCTAACGGTCACTACTGGTGTAACAAACTTTAGGCTCCCCCTCTCAGCAAGCAGAGAGTGCAATAAATCTCCTCTGAGTAAGGTTCTTCTTAGTTGCAGAGAAATGTGGGAAGTATGACTGACATAGAATTCAAATCCCCCGAATATGCCAGCTTCTCTGCAGCCTATGATGTAATATAATATGATGTAATGTATATCAGCCGTAACATTAAAATCACCTCCATGTTTCTACACTCATTGTCCATTTTATCAGCTCCTCTTACCATATAGGTCCACTTTGTAGTCCTACAATTACAGACTGTAGTGCATCTGTTTGTACTTTGATAGCCCCCTTTCACGCTGTACTTCAATGGTCAGGACCACCAAAGAGCAGGTATTATTTGGGTCGTGGATCATTCTCAGCACTGCAGTGACACTGACGTAGTGGTGATTTGTTAGTGTGTGTTGTACTGGTACGAGTGGATCAGACACAGCAGTGCTGATCTTGTTTTTAATCACTGTCTGATCTTGTTTAATCACTGTCTGATCTTGTTTTTAATCACTGTCTGCCAAATTTTGTCCACTCAATGTCCACTCTATTAGACACACCTATGTGGTTGGTCCTGCATCAGATTTTCCAGGATGCTGCCCACAGGATGCTGTTGGCTTAATATTTTTGGTTGGTGGACTATTCTCAGTCCAGCAGTGACAGGTGTTTAAAAACTCCAGTAGCACTGCTGTGTCTGATCTACTTGTATCAGCACAACACACACTAACACACCACCACTGTGTCAGTATCACTGCAGTCCTGAGAATGATCCGGACTACAGATGGACTACAGTCTGTGATTGTAGAACTACAAAGTGCACCTATATGGTAAGTGGAGCTGATAAAATTGATATATTATTATTATTTCAAGACTTTTATTTTTTTATTCAGCAACTATTCAGTAGCTACCATGAAGCTAATAAATTAGATATAAGTGAGGAAATGACATTGTGGACCCACATATAGACCTACAATCTTTAAGAGCTTAACAAGGTACCATTCAAGCACTGAAAAGAATAATAATAAGCCATAAGCATGTCATACTAATCTGTGTAAACTTGTGTTTTTGCCATTAGTCTTGCAATGTGTTACTCAAATAATAGTCAGAACATGATTCATGAGCATAGTGCTAAAAGATTCTGACCTGAGGTTATTTTCAGTCATTCTAAAGGCCTGCAGACATGTAAAGTGTGTTTGCATGTGTGTGTTCCTCTAGGACTCTATTTAACTCATCAGCAAGTGTATTACATTTCAGCGTATGCCTCATTAACACATAATTAGGGGAACTATTCCCCTTGCTTCAAAAATAGCAGCATGCTAGTTGGCAAATGGGAACCATGCACATCCTACCCATTAAAATTTTTTTCAGACAGACAAATTACAAAGAGTTTTTGTGAATTTGCTCCCCATAGACTGCAATAAATTGCATTTCTTGATTAGATTTTGACTGTAACTGTCATAGAGTTCGTAACAATAACTGGAAATGAAGCAAACCCAACTGAGGGAAATCTAATCTTCTGCTTCACATTTCTTGACATGGAAACAATCAGATACAGAGAGTGTGTTAAGTCATACTAGCTCTGTGCTGTAGTGTCTGTCTGCCAAATTTTGTTTCACACTCATGCAGCTGTGATTCACCCAAATGAAATGCCAGACATATATTTAAAAAGTCCTCTCTCCTCTACAAAAGAGAGGACTTCAGCATTTCCATTATGCTTTGAATCCAAATGGTGCAATCACTTAGAAATGAAGGCTCGTTTGAATGCAGCTCACTCTCAACTTAAGTGCATTTACATTATGTAGATGTGAGGCGGACACACTTCTGAGTTGTCAGCCAAGGAGAACAAGGAGTTTGTGCTACTTGAAGTTTATTTTAGTATATATGCTGCTTTTTAGTCATTTTTATCCAATTTTCAATTTCCATTGTGCAAGGACTCTGTGGGCAGGTCGGTGTTCGGGCATATGAAGCCTCAAACTGGGAAGATTTTTATTTTATTGTGCTTTCTTCAAAGGTAGCCTAGATCTTGAAAGGTAAACTAGCTTATGCCATACAGCCCTGTACATGATAAATATGTAACTATTTATATTTGTAGGAATTTCAGTGACTGAGAGTGATTAAATTGAGTATCATATGAATTGAGGATATGGTGAAAGCCTGCAACCATGTTTTTTCAAGGCACTGGCAGATTGTGATTACAGGTTTGCTCAATATGTTTTAAGCAAAGCAACACACGTGTAGTCTCTTTCTTCAGGCCCTATAATGGCCATTCTGCCAGTGGAATGGAAATGGACTAATAAATGGATATAATGAGCAAAAATATATTTCCCTGTAACTCTTTTATCAGATTGACTAGGACACAGTTGGCACTCTGTATTGAGCTGCTAGTGAGCAACTGGGGCGGGAAGTAGACAGGTGAGAACCCCCTGCCTGTCCACAAAGGCTGCTGTGCCAAGATAAAATGGTCAGCAAAACTGCAGATTTCTTAATAACAAAAAATTGTGCACGACTGCAACAATAAAAAATAGCATTTAAACAGAATGAAAACACCTTTATAAATGTTGACTTGCTTGCTCACCTGCCAAGATGAAAATCCAGTTTGCTTCCATTTTCGTAAATCACATATATTTCAATCAAAGTATAGACCGATTGGCCAAAACATCACCACTTGCCTAATATGCTGCTGGCCATCCACATGCCACCAAAACAGCTCCAACCTGCCGAAGCATGGACTCTTCAAGACCTTTGAATATACGCTGAGGTAACTGGCACCAAGACATTAGTGACAGATCCTTTACGTCCTGTAAGTTGCAAGGGCTGCTTGATTAGATTGAGATCTGGGGAATTTAAAGGACATGGCAACACCTTGAACTCTTTGCCACGTTCCTCAAATCTTTCCCGAACAATGTGTGCAGTGTGGCAGAGCACACTACCCTGCTGTAAGAGGCCACTGCTGTCAGGGAATACCTTCATAACGCTTGCTTCATAACGATTTTTCGTTAGGTGGCACATGTCAAAGATGTCCACATGGATGTCCGGACCCAGAACATTGCCCAGCATTGCATCACACTCCCCCGCTGACTTATCTTCTTCCCATGCTGGTGCCATCACATCCCCAGGTAAATGCCACACACGTACCCGAACGGGACTCTTTGGCCCAGGCAACCTCCTTCTATTGCTCCAAGGTCCTTTTTCTGTCGCTCCAAAGTGTCCACCCTACTCTTTCTGTAAGATTGGACCAGACAAGGTGTCTTTGTTGTCCTTGTACATTAATGAGCCATGGCCACCCAACACCCTGTTGCCGGTTGGTGATGTGTCCTTCTTTGGACCACTATCGGTTGGTACTCAACACTGCTGACAGGGAGCACAGCACAAGCCCCACACGGTCATCCTCAAAGTCAATCAGGTCTTCGTGCCTGCCCATTTCTCCCACATCCAACAAGTCCACTATGAGAACTGACCGTCTGCTTACTGTCTCACATATCCTAGACCTTTACATTTGCTGCTGTTGCAAGATAAACAACATTGTTTGCTTCATCTGTGAGTGGTCATAATGTTTTGACTCAGTGGTGTTATTAAAGGCAAAAAATTCATAGGGCAAAAAAAAAGGCACCTCCAAAACAGACAAAGTGCATTTATGGCTACTGTGAAAAGGGGGTAATCATGTAGGCTGGTGCATAGTGGCAAAGGAGGAAAAATATTCTGCTGTTCTTCGCTCTAACTGCACAGTTATCCGCCTTCTGATGATCCCATGGGTGCCACGTTGCATAATTTGGGCTTAAATCTCTGTTCCCAGTGCATGGCGAAGCAAGGGATTTACTAGGCCTGTCCTCAGGATAATCAAACAGAGTAGAAAATGCACTGCTTCTTAACCAGTTTATAGCTTCATTCAAATGGTTAAAGGAGCCATATATATGCATGACAAACAAGACGTCCCACTTCATCACCCTGCAGCTGATTTTATGTTTACTTTACTCAAGTCTGTTTGCTTCATAAAATAATGAATTGTAGTGTTTCATGTACATACAGTAATGAATAAGTGAAAGGAAACCAAGGAACCTGTAGGATCCTAAGGGAGTGTATATATACAAGTGAAACATGCAAGAATAAACTCTAAAGCTTTGCAACAGAACATTTAATGACTTCCCTTCTCTTCTCTCAACAGATGGCAGGTAAAAGTGAGGGCAGAGAGGATAGAAACAGCCACATAATAGGAGAGAAAACAGTTCCTTCTGCACAGAACGTCACAGAGCAAGACTTGAGTGGTTGTGTCAGATCTTATACATTATGATCCACAGCAGATTCCAGAAAGTTGCAGAAATCCAGATGGACCAGCCTCCTGAATGCATGTTCTACTGATAAATGATATGCTTACAGTATGAACGTACCTTTAGGCCAGCGTTCTGTTGCAAAGCTTTGGAGCTTATTCTTGAAGAACAAAATCTGACTTCTTTTTAGAGTTTTGAAGCAATAGTAGATGGGACATTGTTTTTTGGAAGCAATAATTGGGAAAAATATATTTAACTATATCTGTTAGGGTAGAAAGA